ACTCAAAATTTGAATTCATATCACGAACGAACCGAACAGCTATGACTCCCAACACTGCTTCAAATAACAATTTTAGGAACTGGTAATTTGTTTTGCTAGTTATTCATTGTTAAATAGTTCATCACTAATCATCCCTCTAATAGGAACTAGCTTCAGAACCTTCACACATAACAGGGATATTTTTCCTCTTTGAATATACACCACAATTCTGCATCGACAAGACAAGGAAAGAGAGCTTCAAAGCTTCTTCATGTACAACGTATTTTGAAATACTCTTGTTACAAACATGAAAAAGATAAACCTTTAGGTAAAGAGAGAAAACATGCTGTCAAGACTGAATATAAATCCTACAAAAGTTTTGATTAAGAATCATGAAGTATATTTCCGAAGTGTATCGTTTATTGAATCAATTATTTTGGCACAAAGATATGCAAAAAACTGTGATGTTTGTGGATCTTGTGCGACAATATTTTTTCAGTGTAGTTCGCTCATTAGTGAGCTTTGAAAGTCCAATTAGAACTGTATCGCAGTCCCTATGTATTCTTATCTCATACTGTACGCACATTACTGTTTTTCCTTTTTTTTTCTCATCCATTAACGTGGTTGGTATAGAGGAAGCTTTTGAAGTTATTCTGAAAAACATTGTTCTACTCGAAATAGACAATAAAAAACGATTCTGCAACCTCTACTTCTGATATTTTAATTTAATTGCCCTAGCATAGAAATGCCCTCAGATGGTCTCAAAAGAAATAAATCAAGTGCTGTACTAATGGTATCCGGTCCCATTTCAAATACTCCTTCAATTTAATATATTTAGGGAAGATTACAAATTGTACCATACTCGTGACATCATGCGTAAACGCGTTATTAGTTTTAAAAATGAATCACTGCCAGGTCGAGATTCGTACTGATATTTGTAACATGCAATTACTTTCTGAGTACCAAGCGATCTTGTGCTTTTGATACGGTTTATTTGTAATCTTTCAATCTAAGAAAAATATATTTTCTCAGCTGTGAATTCTGAAATTTTGATAACTTTCAAATGTCAACCCAATTATGGTGTATTTTGTCCGGGCAAATTTTTCATTTTGAGCTAACTGCAGGCGCTTTTGATCTCAAAGAAGGAAAATATAATTTTTAAAGAAGATCTCTATGACCTCATTGTCCTAATGGAGGAAAAAAAAATGAAAAGACACTCCATTTTCGATACCGTGCCTGTTTAACGGTGATCTCAGCCTTCCTAGCTAATGTGGGAAGCCGGTGCGGTGCGCGGCTTCTTCTAAAAAACTTGCTTTATGCTTTTAAAAAGGCAATTTCAGAGCTCACACATTTCTGTTTCAAGTCTTAAGGGAGACAGTAAAAAACCTCGTAAAAACCTCGTAAAAACGTAAGCAAGATGATTAATCCTCGTATACAGCATCGAAAATTTCAACGACGAAATTTCAAAATGCACTTTAAGAGCTCACACATTTTTGCTGAAATGGCTTCAAGTCTTAAGGGAGTGTACGTCTTGTAATGCATGAAAACGGAAGCACGATAAGTACTCGTCATATAGAGCGTTGAAAATTTCAACAATGAAATTTCAAAAAACATTTTTAATTAGAGCTTACACATTTGTGATGAAAATGGATTCAAGTCCCGTGGGAGCATAATCCTCGTAAAGATTAAGTGAAAACAAAAGCAAACTGAGTAATCGTCAAATGGAGCGTCTAAAATTTCGACGAAGAAATTTAGAAAAGGGGAAAATATCATAAAAAAATTGATTACAGATGAAAACAATCGTACAATCATAGAAATTTTCCTTTGTTAGCGGAAGATATTTTTTCTTCCTGATGGTTAATACCTGTCAATTATGCAAAAAACTATCTTGGCTGCTAGCACCTGCAATGGCGATGGAGCAGCCGTTCAACTTTCCCCTTTGAATTCTGCATGAATCGAAATTTCATTCAATTTGGATGAAGAAAAATTGGCGTCTTTTTCTGTTTGGTATAGGTGATCTCTCAAATCAATAATAATTAATCTTTCAACCTTTATCCCTAATGATAAATTCTTCCTTGAAACTGCTCCAAACTTTATTCTTTAGTTATGCTAATACTACAATACAAATCATAAGGTTCTTCGGATTTATCATACATTTCACAAAATTTGGGCTGCTGTACACGAAACTCCATAGAACGCTCCTTCATAGCGCAGTTTGTCAGAAAACCGAGCAAAATCTTGCCAGGAGAGGTTGTTCATGTTAACGTTTGCACAACAACCAACGTAACCAAAGATCGCATGGGTGTCATCTTTTTCATCCATGGCATTGTCTTATCGCACAAAATGATTTAATTCACGTCACGACCAATGAAAGATAAACAGATGATTGTTATGTTTTTAACTAAGGCTTTTGACATCACGTCATACAATTTTCTAAATTAACAGACATGCGGCATTTGAATTCATATCACGAACTGAACTGTAATTTAATTATAACTTCCTATATTGCTCCATATCACTATTGTAAGGAACGCCTTTTTAACTTAGCCATTCTTGAGATGTTAAATTTTTCGCTACCATAATTCAATTTCGATTTGTTTCACTTGAAGGCACTGAGCTGCCGCGAGGTTCCACGTACAATATGATAGGGATATCTTTACCAAGACCAGGTAGGAGAGCCTCAAAAACTTTTCTCGTGCAAGATATTTTAATTTAATCAGGACGAAATGATAGCTCCTATTGTAGAGGGAAAAACCAACAGAATATATTAAACTATATAGGTATCTTGAAATATCAGAATTTTTATTTGGAATCATAACGCATGTTTTATTTTAGGAACTTGTAATTTAAAAATACATAAAAGGTACTGGCGTATAGCTGTGGAGTGTTATGTTTTTGGTGATTTAGTTGCTTCATCAGGCCCACTCTGGAACCTTAAGTTGCCTGAAGTCGCCTTAAGTCGCCTTAAATCGCCTTAAGTTGCCTTAAGTCGCTGATGGTTACGCAATGTTATAAGGGTTTTACCCTTCCCATTTGATCCCATTCACCCCACTCTAATCGTGACTATTGAGTTTATTGCAAGGGATTCTGTAAATATTTTTGAGGTTTATTGAGAGACTTTTGCTAACTTTGATTTTCAGTCAAATAACATCGCTTTAAGTCACGTTAAGCCGCCTTAAATCGCCTAAAGTCGCAATGTTTTTTTCACCCAAAGTTGCCCAAAGTTGCGGCGAGTTAAGGCCCCAGAGCAAGCCTTTCATTGGCGTGTATTGAATGGTGATATTTCATTAATGATCATGATGGAAACCGTGACGTTCGGGGATCTTGTTCGATAGTATTTTTGCAAAGTATTTCACGCATTATCTTGCTTTTTTGTACCATGTAAATATGACGTAATTCAACTTTTGGGTTGCAAAGCTATATAAATAAACTATGTATTTATCTATCTATCTATCTATCTATCTATCAATTTTTTTCATCAAATCAAATCATTGTTTATTGGCCTTCAATAGTTCATTGCATCATATAATACATACTAAATTATACACAAGATACGGCAGAATATCTAGCAAGCTCTTTTGCGCCGTTTAAAAGATCCCCATTTATCTATCAATCTATCTAACTATCTATCTATCTATCTATCTATCTATCTATCTTTCTATCTGTCTATCTATCTATCTATCTATCTATCTATCTATCTATCTATCTGTCTATCTATCTTTCTATCTGTCTTTCTAAATAAACCTCCAGAGACAAGAGACAAGCACTATCTTTTCGCAGCCTCCGCTCATTTCAGTCAAACGCGACAAAAACATAGGCAATTTTTTGTCAGAAGTTCTTTTCAGATACGGCAGAAGATCTAGCAAGCTCTGCTGAGCTTTTTAAAAGATCCCCATTTATCTACTATCTATCTATCTATCTATCTATCTATCTATCTATCTATCTATCTATCTATCTGTCTATCTAAATAAACCTCCACATCCAGAGACAAGCACTATCTTTTCGCAGCCTCCGCTCATTTCATTCAAACGCGAAAAAAGCATAGGCAATGTTTTGGTCAGAAGTTCTTTTCAGACTAACGACCAACCAGGCACTTTTAAATGCGCTCGTGCACGATGCAAAACGTGTCCTTTAATTCACAACACTGATAAAATATCGGGACCTAAACGATCCATTAAGATCACCGATCACTTCACGTGCACCTCCTCCAATGTAATCTATTGCATAACTTGCACTTAATGCAAAAAGATATACATCGGCGAAACAGGCAGAAGACTACGTGACCGATTCCGAGAACACATTCGAGACGTGGAAAGGAATGACAAGGACACATCGAAACCAGTCGCTAGACATTTTAATTTACCTAATCATTCTAAGCAACATATGGCAATCTGCGGTCTTTCCTTACACTTAGGTAGCACGGAAAGCCGTAAAACTCTTGAACAAAAGCTCGTCTTTCAAACCGGCAGTCTAAATCCCACAGGTATCAACAAACGCTTTTCAGTCCACTAATTTATTCGTGTTTTTCTCGTTGCCATGTTCCCACCAATAACGTAGCTCCATTTTCTGCCTTTAAAAGCACACACAACCCACAATTCCTCTATTCGCTCCGAAACGGCCGCTTTTGTAATCGTTACGGTGGCCAATTTACCATTTCAACTTTGTTGATAGATCCAAATTATTACGGAAAATTACAACGTTCGTGACCCATCGAGGCTTATACCGTTACAAACGGCTGATGTTCGGAATCTCTTCAGCACCGGAGAAGTACCAGAAGATCATATCAGATGTTCTACAAGGCTGCAACGGCTTTGAAAACATTGCAGAGGACCTCATCGTTCATGGGATAAATTTGGAAGATCACGACAGGAACTTGCATACAGTTTTAAAGCGGTTGCGTGAGAAGGGGTTGACCTTAAAGTGCTACTGAAGCGAAAATCAATCTACTGTAAAAAA